GTATGTAATCAGACCCGTATCTAATCAGAACTCACTGGTTGGGGTCAGTGGACTGATGGCCAATCAGCAATAACTGCTTTGTTAATCATAACTATAAAGTCTACATATGCGTTTAGTACCTTAGCACAGCCCTCAGATGCATGGGCACATTCGTTTTTATGCATTTAAATATATCACGTTTTTTTATGTAGTTTTAAGTTAGAAGCCGCCAGATGTTCAGAGCTTCTTTTCAATGAGGAATAGAAGATGGTTATCTTTGTCTGTAACCCCTTATAATCTCAGAAGAATGCCGACGACCTTTGATCTGTACAGTAGTGTAATAAAACCTGTATATTACTGTAAGTTGGTATGGTATGAACATTTGAAGCAGATAATGTATGATCACACTTTTTAATGTTGCTTCAGGCATGAATGTTGATTATTCTCCGTCGTTGCGGCTCTTCTCTTCCCAGTCTGTCAGTAACGCTCTCTGTTCGTGTCATCTATTAAAATGTCTCTGAATTAGCAAAGCGTTTGCTCATAAATGAAGGTAACGGACCTCAACATTTATTACTAAACGCCTCCGTTTAAACACGCAGAAACAATTTTCGCTCAGTAAGTGCTAGAAAATTTCACAAACGAGATGAATTAAAGTAGAAATTTTAAAGTAGAAAGACTGAAATAGCATCACTGGAAAATATACTCCAATAATCTTTTGTTTTAATTAGTTATTACCGTAACCAATTCTAAAGCTAAAAATTAATACCCATAAATTAAATATATATTTCCTCATATTCTCCAGTGTTGCGGCTCCTCTCTTCCCAGTCTGTCAGTAACGCTCTGTTTACTTCCTGTCTCTGTGAAGCCCCTCCTTCTGAAAAGCACACTGTGCTCTGATTGGTTGGCTGGAGCAGTTTGTTGTGATTGGTCGAGTGCTTCGAGTGTGGTTGGGAAATGCACCGCCCCTTTCCATAACCACCAGTTTAACACACTACTAACTAACTCAACCAGGCCCCGCCCCTTTATTCTGCGTATTAATTATTATAATGAGGAATATTGTGACGTGTTCGTTCGCGGAAGAAACTCAAGACTACAATGGAGGCGTTTCTCTGATATAGAGAAGAACTGGAGCTTTACACATTAAAGAAAATCCACACTGTAAAAAAAATAATAATAATTCGACTTATACTAGTGTTTAATTCAGTGCGCCGTTACTTGCCATTGTCATTGATTAATTGCAGTTTTGAAGTGACTTTTCCACCAAATGATTTCAGTGTTTAGAGGAATATAAATGTGTGACAGTACACATTTGTTGTGGCTCTAGAATGAATCTTCAGATGGGGAAGCAGCTGTGCTGTGAAACGCTGCTCTATTACAGCCAGTCTTTGGCTCATAGCGCAGCGAGGACTGAAGAAGTGTCCTGTTGCCGAGTGAGTCTCTCGTGGGCCTTTAGACGTGCAGTTGTTGAAGATTCAATGGTCCTTTGTTTCTGCATCTCTTCATGTGTTGGTCTGAAGTGGTGCTGTAGGCCCAGGCCATCTCTGCACTTCTGTCAGTCTGACATTGAGTGCTCACACACATCTGTCTGCAGATCTCCAAAAGATTTATCATTCAAAAAGCAGATGTAATGCCTTGTCCTGACTGGACGAGATGCGATAAAATTCCAGCAACAAGCGGTTTCTGTTCACAGTTCACTCCAGATGCGACGCAGCTACGAGACGTGACACAATCAAACGTGACAGCCAATCAGAAGAGCTTGTGGGCGGAGTCTGTGCAAATGAACTGCACTCACAGTCAAATCAGTCCAAGATCACAGCCAATCAGAAGTGTGTGTGGGCGGAGTCTGTGCAAACGAACTGCGCTCTCATCTAAATCAGTCCAAGTTAACAGCCAATTAGAAGTGTTTGTGGGCGGAGTCTGTGCAAACGAACTGCGCTCACATCCAAATCAGTCCAAGATAACAGCCAATTAGAAGTGTTTGTGGGCGGAGTCTGTGCAAACGAACTGCACTCTCATCCAAATCAGTCCAAGATCACAGCCAATCAGAAGTGTTTGTGGGCGGAGTCTCTCTGCAAACACACTGCACTCAACCAAGTTGAAACAACTAGTTTCGCAACTAGTTTCAGTTTGTGAGTTGAAAAGCTAATAATTAATGAATTAATAACGTTATCACTGTAAAGCTGCTCTGAAGCATCTATATTGTTAAAAGCGGTGACTTGTCTATAAATTGTACCCAAATTCTCTTTGACCTCATTTGCATATCGATTAGTGGATTGCCGCTTTGCGAGGACAGTGTGTAGTGTGCGAATATAAAATGGCTTCATGTGATAAGTCATTACAGACTTGGACTACTACAGCAAAAGACAGCTTGGCAAAGATTTGTGGTAGTTAGTGGTCAGCGTGTGTGTGTGTGTGTGTTGAGCAGGAGTCAACAAGGCCGGTCTGTGTGTGTGTGGGGCGTAAACTGGCCCTGGGCCCCGAACTCAAACAACACGGCATCAGCTGTCTAAAGACCACGGCCGTGTGTGTTCAGACCGACACACGACACACACTCCGCTTTATAGAGTTCTGCTGTTATTGGACGCCACCAGCCACTAAGATACGAGACCGCTTTCCTCTTTCTGATATTGGTTTCCAGGGCTGGCTATATTGACACAAATTACACAATTTGATTCACAATCTTGCAATTTGATTTTGATTCAATATTTATTATTACAAACATGGATTTAAAACTGGAAAACATCAAAAATTATAATGAATATATTTAGCAAAATGCTCCTCTCTAGAGTCAACTTCTCTTGCTGATAAAGATATTATGGACTGTGACGTAGGGATGATTAATTGCGATTAATTGCATCCAAAATAAAAGTTTGTGTTTACATAATATATGTGTGTGTAGTGTGTATAATTAATTTGTATATATATAAATACCCACACATGCATGTAAGAAATATGTGCATATATATTTTTATATATTTATTCACAATTAATATTATATATAAATATAAATATTTGATATATTAATTACACATTTTTCTTAAATGTATACATGCATGTGTGGGTATTTATATATACAAATTAATTACACACACATATATTATGTAAACACAAACTTTTATTTTGGATTTGGTTGCCCATCACAAACGTTACATGAACAAACACTAAAAATGCTTATGTATACTGTATAAATACACTTAAATAATAGTAATAATGCATTTTTGTTGTTGATTGGAGTTTATCTGCAGAAATGATAAATTAATCTACTTGCTACAGATAAAGTAACTTGAAGTCTGGCACATGTTTCCCAGAGCGACGGCCTCATCTGGAGAAGTGTGTCGATGTTATTGATGGTTTTGTGAGATCGTCTCCTGAGTTCTGTAGGTGCTGTGATGTCATCGTGTGTGTGTGTGTGTGTGGACTGGGAAAGGGGTGTAGGGTCTGATGGTAATATGAGGCCTGGGCTATAAATAGCTGTGGAAGGAAAGGCCTGCATGTCTGTGGTCTGCTGTGTTAATTACAGGGCAAGGTTAACGTGCAATCCTGCAGATGTGTGTCAGACTCATGCCATCACGGGTCCGTATGGGCTCACACAAGCCAGGGACTTTTACTTGGAGTTTTGCAACGAATCGCAAAATATACGGTTTTTGAGCCGCGGATCGGATCATTTTGTGGATCAGAAAAAAACAAAACAAAACATACACACACATATATATATATATATATATATATATGAGTATGTATGTATGTATTGTATATGCATACATGTATGTATATCTATATATATATATATATATATATATATATATATATATATGTGTGTGTGTGTGTGTGTGTATGTGTATGTATATATATATATATATATATATACACACACACATCTACATAATTATATACACACATATATATGTGTGTATATTATATATATATATATATATATATATATATATATATATACACACATATATGTGTGTGTGTATGTATAACTAACTTTTCTTACTTGGGGGGGTAACTTTGCTTTTCATTTATTACTTAAAGCTCATTTAAAGTTCTTCAAAAACTAGTTTTTAACAAAATTTAAAACAAGTGAACAGTCAGTGATAAAATAAGAACAAATACACACATTACAAGCTGAGAGGAAAACTAAATATAAAAACTAACAGTAGTGTTCGATACAGAAGTTAATTAAGCCTAAATGAAAAAATAACACTATTTGTAACACTATATAAATAACACTATTTGTTCACTATATAAATTAAACATAGTTTCATCTTTGTTAAAGCTGTATTTTGTGGTTTTATTAACATTAATGACAGACGACAGCAGGAATATTAGGCTGCCGTCACTTTAAGGCCGAATGTGCCGACCGAACAAACTGGCAAACATCCGCTTTCTTTCTCAACCGTTCACTAATGACATAACCGAGAGAACGCTTGCCGAAACGGGCATTTAGTGTGTGTGTGTCCATTCAAGGGCGAGGTATCGCAAAAGAGGACTCAATTTGGAGTCATGTCTCCTGAAAAAAAGTGGAAACACGTCCAAATTATAAGCTTTTTACTCAATGATGGTTAAATTTAGCAGTTACTCACGCGTGTGCCAAACCGCGAGTCCGTACGCATCACCTGCGATCCATGTACAAGCCCACCTCTGAGCTAATGAACCATCTCTCCATATAAAGGGCCACTAATATGGAGTTAATACTGTGCCATAATTAAACTAACAAATCCAGAATTTTGCAAACAATCTCAAGGCAAACCCGACTCGCAAACAAACGCAAGAGCGAAAATGCAGTGGAGTAGCAGATATGCTTTGTGTTTTGCAAATGTAAATGAATGAGCCTAGATACTATTTCACAAATAAATACAAACTGCATATAAGCGTTGAACAAATACCAAATCTAGCACACAAATGCACATCTGACGCTTTTTATGAGATCTCTCGACTCGTCACAAAGTCAGAATTGAATATTTGCGATATATAATCCATGTTTTTCTGACGTCTTTGCCTTGTTTGGTCCCGTTCAGGAAGGGTAAAGGGAAGCCCAATGGGAAGAAGCCGCCCACCGAGGAGAAGAAGCATTACCTGGACGCCGAGTACACCAAGGTCCGAGTGGTGGACTTCGAGCTGAAGGAGCTGGTGGTCCTGCCGAGGGAGATCGACCTCAACGAGTGGCTCGCCAGCAACAGTGGGTGTCTCGTAGGGCTGCCACGTTTCTGTGTTCATTGGTGTTCTTCGAATCCATTTTCCATGTCCATTTTCAACACCAAATACAGGCAAATCCACGGACGCCTAACAGGCATTCGGACGAGCGTAAAGAGGCGCTTGAGACGCACAAGTCAGCAATAATTATTGGCTTGAAGTTTCAAACAGGACAAATGACAAACAGGAGCGCAACATTCAGAGATTAACACACTCGACCCGCCAAACGTGTGTAAAAATGATCTTTGGCGGGAAACGCTGTCAAATCACGAGCTAATCTGGCGTTTCTATGTTTACTCACTTTTCTGGGGAAGTTCATGTAAGACAAATCTGAGCAGATTTAGCACAAATACGCAACTCGTGATCCTCATGATATATTAAATATGCTGTGTATTGCAGAATCTGCTCATTTCTGGTGCACTTGAACACAATAGCGAAGTAATAGCTATAAATTGAAGTAATAGCGAATATTAAAAACATGTTGAACAGAAAAGACATTATTATTTTCCAGCATCCGACATGTTGTGTGTGCTGTATTGTCCTGTCCCAAAACACATTTTTGGTTAAATAAAAAAAATAAAGGCTGTTGAAATCGATTCCTTATTTTCGTTTTCGAAACTTGTGTTGCTTGGTCCGATCGATTTGCGAACGTAAAGTGACATCCCTGGTGTCTCGCGTCACATGACCGTCAATAGAATTAAGACCGAATGAAATCACACTGCAGCATTTGTGTTCTCACTGCTCTTTAGTGCAAGATCATCTCCTGAATTTTTATTCGTTTAATTTTTAACTAGCGCACTTTTTAAAAATGTACTTAAATGTGTTACGTTGTCGAAGTCTAGTCCGTTTAAGTGCCCTTTGGTTGCCTTTAATTTGAGTATTAATACTATATTATCTACAAAAATGTAGTTTTTTTTTTAAATCTATACTTTAGCGATGCACACTATATCGACCGCAATATCGGTATATGCCGATATACGTTGATTTAATGTTATCGGCCCGATAAGAAAATTTGGTCGATATATTAAAGCTGATAAATAATGTATTGTTTCCATCATCGCGAGACGCTTCAGATGCGCACTGCTCAACATGGGCTGGGTGTTATGGCCAAAAAAATCATATCTCGGTGATTTTCTACGTTTTTCAATTTGGATAAACAAAATCTGTATTTTGATATATATATATATTTTTTAAAAATCACATCCTACCCAATGATATCCTAAAAAACAATGTTGATATTGAAGGAAATGGAAACAAATATAGTGAATGTAACGTAGGCTATGCAATATAATATGTGCACAGGTGGTTAAAATCACAATACATTCGAACATTGTAACATCACAATCTAAAAACGAAACGGAAACGCTCACGAAAGCTTGAATATTAGCAAAATTTACATATTTGTTTGACTTTTTGACATTTACAGTTGATAATATACCTGTGGACAGTAAATCTAGCACTGAGGAAAACGCCAAATCTCAAACGCATTAAACACAGTATTCATCCGGATCTGACTGCTTTAAACCTGTTAACTATAACTGTATATCTTACCAGTTATTTTGAAGCCCTTACCTAACATGTTTAGGACAAACTGTACTATACACAACTCATATCTCGATATAACTCGATATACCGCCCAAATGGTTTTGATTTAGCTTGAAATATGATTGAAATCACTTCAATAATGGTGTAAAAACATGTCTATCTGTCTATCGGCTACATAACTTTATAATTGTGTGTTTGGGACACAGCTTTTAACGGTTAGACTTTTGTTTTTATAATCAGCCTCTCAAAAATGATATAAAAATTTGGTTTTCGATATATCGGTTATCGGCTTTCAAATATATCGGTTATCAGTATTGGCCAAAATTTTAATATCGCTGCATTCCTACTGGCATCTAAAGTCCAATAGTGATCCGAGATCAGCTTTAACTCCGTGCAATAGAGAAATTCTGAAATAATGAAAACGCTCCCTACTATTTTTTTTCCCATGTGTGAGAAGTCGTGACCCTTGACCCTGGCCCCGGCCGACTGTCTGCCGGTGTTGTGTCTAGTCTCTCGGTGTGTTTTGAAAACATGTCTTCTTTTCGTCAGAGGGAATGCATGATTTTAATCTCTGTTGCATAACTGTGTGATAAAACCAGCGCAGAATAATAACATTCCCACCAAACACACCATTGTGTGCATTTCCCCCCATTATATCTCGAAAGAAAACACGTGAAAAAATCAAAGTATGGCTTAATTTGGGAAACGTTAATGCTCTTTCATATTCCATAAGCACTTAATAAACCAAATCACTGCCTTTAATGGTTAATTGAAGCCTTTCCTCCGTATCAGTGCATTACACTGTCTCATATGCCATCGCTTCATGCATTTCACATATGAAGAATATATATATATATATATGAAGAGTTGAGATGCAAAAGCCTCTAAGTGCCATTTGAAATTTTCTTCTTTAATGATGATTTTTATAAGTTCAGTGATTTCACTTAAATGGCAGTGATAATTACCTATTAATTGTTATTTAAGTGGAATTACTGAACTTAAAGTTTGATAAAAATCATCATTAAAGAAGAAAATTTCAAATGGCATTTAGAGGCTTTTGCATCTGAACTCTTCATTTATATATATATATATATGTGTATGTATATATTAATTTCTTTTGGGAATAATGTATATTAATTTTGTTTGCGATAATTTTTAAATTACAGATGCATTTGCACAGTCCTAGAGACGACCCTGTTATTTTAAATAGTTGATTATTTCACTCTTATTTTATCCATTACATTGGACTCATATTTCTTATTTCATATTTCTACATCATTTAATAACTTTATTCGACAAAAGCACGGTAAAAGCACAGATTGTTTCGACACCACACATCATCACATTTGGCACGTTTTTTTTAAAATATTTACATATGTTAAATCTATTTCTCTGAATATAATTATATATGCAAATTTAAGATTTTTGATGCGTCAGATAGGTGGTTATTACACGTAGTAAAATGTAAAGTCACTTCAAAGTTAGTCATTGTTTATGCATATTTATTTAGTGAGGAATATAAAGGTATTAATCTTCATCGCCAAATGATTAATTGCTGAAATATTGCATGATTGAATAAGCGTAATCATACGATTAATAAATAATCTAACAGCAATTAATATAGAGATAATTGTGCAGTTTAAATTTCAGTGTTTGTGTGTATATTTGCTTGTTTAGTCAGATTGTATTAGCAATTCTCATAGCATTAAAGTAAATAATATGGCCCTATTTTATTATAATTTTAAATAACGTGTTAGGCTTACAGAAAACAGAATCTGCAGTCTGAAATGAATGTACATTTGAATGTGAATGAAATGAATGTGAAATGAGTGCGTGTTGAATGTCAGCACAGTGTTGATGATGATGATGATGATGACGTGCGTATATTGTGATGTATTATTAATATTACGGTTCCTATAATCTCTGAAACCTGTGTTTGTGCAGCCACGACGTTCTTCAACCTCATCAACCTGCAGTACAGCACCATCTCTGAGTTCTGCACCGGGGACACCTGCGCCGCCATGACCGCATGCAACACGTGAGTCTGCGTCTCACACACACACACACACACTCTCGTGACCTCTGTGGCACGACCGTCTCAGGGTTTTTTTTTTATTTAATACTTTTTTTATTTTTTTATTTTTAAATTTGATGTTGTTTTGTGTTATATTTTCTATTAATTCTTGAAAATAAATTTTATAATTAGACATTTCTCATATTTTTAGAATTTATTTTTAATGTAATTTTTGTATTGTATTACCTATTATATCTCAATTTACTAAATGTTAATAAATATACATATTTATTATTTATTTTTTTATTTTTTAACGATTTTATTATACGACACTGACTGTAAGTCAGTATATAAAATAGTTTTCAAAAGTTTGGGTTGGTCAGATTTTTTTTCTCTTAGAGAAATGAACACTTTTATCCATCAGAGATGCAGTAAATTAATGAAAAGTGAATGTAGAGACATTTATAATGTTAGAAAATATTCCATTTCCAATAACTGTTGTTCTTTTCAACGTTGTATTCATCAAAATCACTGATAATAACCATAAATGTCCCCTGATCATCAGATCCTCATATTCGAGTGATTTGTGAAGGGTCATGTGACTGTAGACTGTTGTAATGGTGCTGATATAACACACGGGAAGGTGTTTAATTCGATGTGTTTTATTGCTGTGCCAGAGATGCGTTATGATTATGATTCGACACTGACTGTAAGTGGGTCGTGTGTGTGTGTGTGTGTGTGTGTGTGTGTGCTGATGGAAAAGGGAAGGAACTCAAGGGTTTACTGAAGCATTATGGGAAGAGGCGCTATCAGGCCGTTTGGTTAATTAACATCCACAGAGAAGGGTTTTGTTTTATTATTTTTTTTTTAATTAATTATTTTTAAGTTTTATTAAATAAAATTTGGGCAAGCTAAATATTAAATATAAAGCTAAATATATTTTTAAAATATATTTTTGTATTATAATTTTTTTGTAGAAATGAGTGTTTGTTTCTAAAATGCTTTTTCACGTCTTGAGACTTTTTTTTTTTATCTATTACGTTCCTAAGCTTTTTTTTTTTTTTTTAAAGCTTTTTTCTAAGAATGTTATATCTTTAATGTCTCTCTCAGGACGTATTTCTGGTATGATGAGAAAGGGAAGAAGACGAAGTGCACCGCTCCTCAGTACGTGGACTTCGTGATGAGTTCGGTCCAGAAGCTGGTGACCGACGAGGACATCTTCCCCACCAAATACGGTGAGCGAGTCTCTAGCGCCCCCTGCAGGGCGAAGGAGGACACTGCACACCCAGGGCTTTAATCAACAACACATTTCACTTCTGTTTGTGTTTGTTTATTAGCTATTTACTAAAATTAAGATTTGCTTTTAAATACTCACACACGAATAAATGTTTAAGAAATTGAGTTAAATTGCTGTAGTTACTGCAACACTGTAATCTAATGACCCATTCAAATTGTATCAATTTATAAATAAAAAGTATACATTTACATTTAAAGGGTTAGTTCACCCAAAAATGAAAATTCTGTCAGTATTTACTCACCCTCATGTTGACCTTCGTTCATCTTCACAACACAAATGAAGATATTTAAGATATTAAGATCGCTCCATGCTACTGAGGGAATGACACTTGCTGGCATCGAAAAGTCATTAAAGACATCGTTAAAATAGTCCAAGTGTCTACAGCGGCTCAATCTTAACTTTATCAAACGACAAGAATACTTTTTGTGCGCAAAAACAACAAAAATAACCACTTTATTTCAACTATTCACTTTCCTGTAGTCAGTTAACGTAGTGTGATTGCGTAAAGCTACGTCACACGTAGGCTCACTATTGGCCGACGCTGGTCATGTGTGTGTGATGCGTGTGACGTACAATAACAGAAGCTTACGCTATTAAACTAGTAACCCGACTCGCGCAGAGGGAGAAATAAACCAATAGCTGAAATAAAGTCGTTATTTTTGCTCACAAAAAGTGTTCTCGTCGTTTGATAAAGTTAAGATTGAGCCGCTGTAGTCACTTGGACTATTTTAACGATGTCTTTAATGACTTTTCGATGCCAGCAAGAGTCATTCCCTCAAGAAGCCTATGGAGCGATCTTAATATCTTAAATATCTTCATTTGTGTTGCGAAGATGAACGAAGGTCAACATGAGGGTGAGTAAATACTGACAGAATATTCATTTTTGGGTGAACTAACCCTTTAACTTTAAAATTGTGATTTCCAGGCCTGGATGGAAACTTATATTCTTAATAGAGATTATCTAATATACAAATTGTAAAGGAATATACACTACTGTTATCACTCTCTCTGATATGAATAAAGCCCTGTACGTTAACGTGTGTGTGTGTGTGTGTGTGTGTGTTCCTCAGGTAAAGAGTTTCCCAACACCTTCGACTCGCTGGTGAAGAAGATCTGCAAGTACCTCTTCCACGTTCTGGCGCACATCTACTGGTCCCACTACAAGGAGACGGTGGCCATGGACCTGCACGGACACCTGAACACACTGTACACACACTTCATAGTGTTTATAAGGGAGTTCAACCTGATGGACCCGAAGGAGACGTCGATAATGGAGGACCTGACGGAGGCCCTGTGCACACCGCTGCCCCCGGTCCCACAGAACCACGTGAGCGAGAGATGAGGCCGCGCCGGAGCCGCGCCTGTGCCACGCCGGGGCCGGAGGACTGCCGCAGCGCTCCAGAGACGCTGGGACTCAAACCCGCACCCTTACTGAACATTGATGTCTTTAGGACCCAGTCAGGAGCGCTCGCACCGGGCCGAAGGAGGTTTAACCCTTTAACCGAGACGCTTTTCCCTTTCCTTCCCGATTCTCAACAACACACACTGATCGTGGAGATCGTCGTCATCATCATCAGAAGAGTCGAGTCGCGAGGATCTTTGTGAGACGATCGGACCGTTTCCTTTTATTTATTTGTTTTTTTTTTGAGTTCTTCTTCTCACACGAGCAGCACTTTCCCCTCTTCTTGATTTCATAAGGGTGTTGGCCTGGTCCTCGTACGGTATAAAGGTTTCTTTCTCATTTTTTATAGGGTAAAAGGGGTGTGTGTGTGTGTGTGTGTGTGTGTGTGTTCAAGGCTTTTGCACTCAGGATCTGAGAGAGCTGTTAATGCTACCTGCTCACCCGTTAGCCTCTCGGTGTCACTTTACTCCTCGTTTAGCAGTTCCCCTCATCCGTGGACGGGATAGACTTGTGTTGCGTCATATTAGCAAGCATGCTAACCACTGTAGAGGAGCGTCTCGCGCGAGCGTGTTTACCTCGCCGTCTCTGGAAAAGCGTCTCGGCTCTGTCATGACTTAGCCTCGTAATGAAAAGACGATTTGCGAACGGAAAAGAATGTACACTTAGTCTCTACGTACCGATCGCAAAGATTATAATTATCGTCGAGTGAGAGAGAGAGTGAGCGAGTGAGAGAGAGTTAGTGTCGTGTCGCGATGAACTCGTTGTGAGATGATCGGACCTTTTCCTTTTATTTAATTTATTTCTTTGTTTTCTTTTTCTTTTTAGTTGCTATTTTTTTCAGGGCTCCTCAGTTCTGGCTTTTTTTGTTTTATGTATTTTAATAATACTTTAAGTTAAAAGCGATTTAATATTTTAAGCTCTGCAAATTATAACCTAATAAAATATTTAAAAGTCACAAACTGTGGTGTTTAGCGCCTTCTTTTTCATCAGGGAACTCTTGGTCACTTTTAGCCATCAGTGTTATGTTTGATGATGTTTAACAGTGGAACTCTTGGTGGAAAACTACATTACCCATGATTCTCCGTAATAAGTTTACATGTTTAGGTTAAACTCAAAAAAATTGAATATTGTGAAAAAGTTTAAAGTGTATTTCAGTCATTCAAATTAAAATATGAAACTGATATATATATATATATAGTGTATGTGTGACCATAGTTTTCAGAGGCCTGACATTTCTGTATTTAAAATTTCTGAGATTTTGAATTTGGGGTTTTCATAAGCTGTAAGACATAATCATCAAAATTATAACTTTTGCACGATATTCTAATTTCTTGAGTTTCACCTGTTTAATTGTTTTTAACCGTGGAATACTACATTACCCATGATTCTCCATAGAATCTCCAGTCCACCAATCAGAGAAGAGCTCCACCCAATCCCATGTTAAAATACTTGTTTGCTTTAAATCAAAATTTGTAATGTTGGGATTCACCTCTAGCTGGTGTGTGTGTGTGGTTCAATTACAAAAATAACAAATGCTAAATCTGCTTTAAATGAGTTTAAAACCGCACATGTTTGGATTGACACCATAAGAAATAAAGCATGATTTTGCGATAATCTGAATCGTGTTCACTAAAATTGTACGAAGACCGTACTCATAGTTTTCATAATGTCGGTACAGGTCATTAAAACCCCTCACTACAGCAAACACAAGAATAAAGAGTAAAATACAAATGTGGTATAATTGATCAAAAATTGCAAATATTAGATTATTAATTTTAGTCATTTATTAATAGCAATTTTAAGATTAAATTATTTATTTTAATCATTTATTTTAATTAATCTAAAAATTGCTATTAATAAATGACATTTTTTTTATATAAATTATACCAAATTTATTTATTCTTTAAATACATAAAATAAAAATTTGATATAAAAGAATAAAATTAAAATAAATTATTTATTTATTTTAATTGTGTTTTGTATTTTATGTATTTAAAGAATATAATAAAAACGTTACATAAATTAATAAAACAAATACCAAATATTAGATACAAAAAAATTGCTATTAGTAAATGGCTAAAATAAATAGATTAAAATAATTAAAAAAATATATATGTATATATAACGGTAGAAAAAAACTTTATAATAGTTATTTTTAACCATATAAATTGGGTCTTAATCCATGAGAAACGTATCGCTGCCTCTTTAATGTGATGTTGGTGTCCGTAACATCTCAAAGACTGAAAACACAAACGGCACATTTTTATTTCTGATAGTTTAGTTAAATCAACCCATATGCAGATTATTGTGCAATTCAGCATTTTATTATTTTACAAGAACGAATAGAAACCACGTCCAGCCGTGAAGATCCACATCCTCCATGAGCGAGCATCTTTATTTGTCGGCTCTTACAAACGCGGAGAAAACGCTGTCCTTCTGCTCCAGAAGCACGTCCGGCTCATCGTACTCCATAATCCCGCCGCGCTTCATCACGATCACCGCGTCTGAGCCCAGGATGGTGTGAACGCGATGCTGAACGACACACACATTGAGGTTTCAGGTTAGTGTTTAGAAGTTACTCCACTAGAAGAGGCTTGGCCGACTAAGATCTTATTTTATGTAAGCAATAAGGTTCGAGAGTCTGATTTCCCTGATTAAATAAAGCTTAAAGGATTAGTTCACTTTTAAAAAAAACAAACATTTGCTGATAATTTACTCTCCCCCATGTCATCCAAGATGTCCACGTCTTTCTTTCTTCAGTCGAAAAGAAATTAAGGTTTTTGATGAAAACATTCCAGGATTTTCTCCATATAATGGACTTCAATGGGAACCAAACAGTTCAAGATCCAAATGAGAGTTTCAGTGCAAACTGTTCAAAGGGCTTTAAACGATTCCAGACGATGAATAAGGGTCTTATCTAGCGAAACGAGCGGCCATTTAATATCTGGCGTCGTTTAAAGCCCTTTGAACAGTTTGGACCCCATTGAAGTCCATTAAATGGAGAAAATCCTGGAATGTTTTCATCAAAAACCTTAATTTCTTTTCGACTGAAGAAAGAAAGACATGGACATCTTGGATGACACGGTGGGTGAGTAAATTATCAGCAAATGTTTGTTTTTTATAAAAGTGAACTACTCCTTTAATAAATAGTAATTGTAGTCAGAGATGCAGAAACTCACTGCGATGGTCACCACTGTTCGGTCAGCGAACGCCGTCATCACCACTTTCTGCAGAATACTCTCCTGTACGAGCAAAACATGAAGATTAATCAACTTTACATGCAGGAACAGACACTGAGAGTTTCATTTTCCACCTTCATAAAATTACTCTATCGATTTTGTAATTTTTTTTATATGTTGTTGAATATGGTTTTATGACTTTGATAAATGAATATAGGCTATTATAAAAGCAGGATTAGCCCAAACCCAAGCATCTCAGAACTTAACGTTCACTCCGACATCGGGAAAAACTCAATCTAGGTGTCAGGATTAAAGCATTGATCGGCATTAGGAAAGCGTTTTTGACCTTTAATGCATGTAAACCTCTTCTAGGAGACTCCAGAACTACATTAGGAAACTTGAACACACAGTTTGAGTTTAACTTATGTTAATCTTCTTGTTTGGGCTGTTTAATATTAGGATGCGGTTTAAAACACCCCAGCGTCTCCCTGACAATGACAATCACCAAACCAGTCATGAGTCGCATTATTGATTTTTCTTTTTTGCCAAAAAACAATAGGATATTAACTTAAGTGAAGATCATGCGTCACGAAGATATTTTGTAAATTTTCTACTGGTTTTTATGTCTTTCTACATTTTACATGGTTTGTTTTGCCCCATGTGACTGGTTTTGAGGTTCAGAGTCGTGTGTGTGTGTGTGTGTGTTCTCACTGTGGCCATGTCGATGGATGCTGTGGCTTCATCCATGATGAGGATGCTGGTCTTCCTCACGAAGGCCCGAGCGAGACAGAAGAGCTGACGCTGACCCTGACTGAAGTTCTCACCGCCCTCCGTCACCACCGCATCTGACGAGCGAACACACACACACACACACACACAACCAGTCAATGCACAATAGAAGCATCTGAGGAGCGACAGCCCCTAACCCTTATTGTTAAAGTGTTATTAATCTATATATTGTAAAGAGTAATTTATTCCTGTGAATTTTCAGCATCATTACTCCAGTCTTCAGTGTCACATGATCCTTTATGAAATTATTCTAATATGATTTGCTTAATAATATTGGTCCTCAATTGCTGATTCGTATTTTTGCAGAAAACTGATGCACTTTGTTTTTCGGGATTCTTTGATGAAGTGAAAGTTCAAAATAACGGCATTTATTAAGAAACAAATGTCTGCTGAATAAAAGTAATTCATTTCTTTTTATTTATTAAAAAAAATTCAAAAATAAATAAAAAAATAATTATTTCTGTATTTAAATTTATTTTTTAACTGTTTTGTACATTGACAATAATACATGTTTTTTTTGAGCATCAAATCCTCATATTAGAGTGATTTCTGAAGGATCACGTGACACTGAAAATTCAGATTTGATCACAGGAATAAATTACACTATTAGAAAGCAGATGTTTTACATTTTAATAATATTTCACTGTTTTTCCTGTCATTTTTTAGTGGTCAGTACATAGGGTTTCGTTCCAACAAGTGGGGCACTACCTACTTTTTTTTTTTATTTAACATCAGAAATATATAGAGATTCCTTAAGAAAAAGTTCTCCGCACACAACCTTGCAGTTTTTGAGAAAAATTATGCTAAAGATGCCCATTTTGAAATATAGGGATACCATAGGGAATTTTGCATTTTTGAACCTGTTTATCATATAAACCCCAAAAAATGCAAAATTACCACTTGAGTAAACCAGTAAACTACAAAATAAACCAGTTTGAAATGTGTGATATACCTGGAGTTGCCATCTAGGCACAGTAAACATACGATTATCAAGAAAACTTCTATCATTAATTCAGGCGGCCATGGCTGGGCCATAGGGGTAAAAAAAATAAAATATTTGGGGTAAATATTTAAATGGGACGGGTCCCCAACAGTCTCTGGCAGGGCGGTCGCTGGCTGGACGTCTCGGGCATGAGTTTGTTTTTAAGTGTTAGTAATTTCGGGGAAAACTTGTAAACATCCAGTTCCAAGAAGAGCTTCTGAAAGGCTTCAAAAGTGCGCCTCAGTTCTTTCGGGTAGGTGTGGTTTAGTGCATACGTGAGTCCAAGAAGAACAGCACAGGCTCTTGTCAGATTTTCCAAGCCAGCCATGACTTGCATCCACCCCTCCAAGATGATGCTGAAATACTCCTGAGAATCCCTCTTGCAGATGGCAATTTTCATTATGTGCTGCAGGATATCTCCATTGTCACACTGTAAAATAAACATTATTTTTATCTTGTCTGTCTCATAAGTCTGTCCATAATTATAAACTTGATTTGTGTACGGTTGTAAAAAAATTATTTTAACAGCTTGAAATGCTAAGACAACTACAAGTAAACCCTTATACATACAAATATTGTTTCAGTGGACCACGAAGACTGTCACAATAACATAAATACAGTTTTACCAGTTACAGAGGGTGTATTCAGGAAGAAAAAATAAAATTACTTTTGGTGACACTATTGTAGGGGGAAATTAAATTTCAATGGTCCACTAGACAGTCTACTAACTAACTGCATGTCAACTAACTCAGGGTGTCAGTAGACTGCTAGGTTAGGGTTAATAGATAAAGTTAACATGTAGATGCAGTTACTTAGTCAGTTGAATGTCTAAAGTGGACCATCAAAATAAAGTGTTACCTTTTTAGTGGCTGACAAATCTATTTTGTGTTAAATATTTTCACATTATATACCTGGGCACAAGCCGCTCCCACTGCAATCAAACTCATAGGTTCATTATATAATCGAGCAATAAACCTTTTGGATAAAAAAAACAAACAAAACATTAGGTTATCATCATTGCAGCATCTTTAATAAATCTAATTTTGATAGCTTTAGCAATTTTTCCTTTCTTAAACTAATTTATAAGTGCATTAATCATCTAGTACATGAGCCAATATAAGTACATTTATTGTGAGACCGGACAACATCCGAGTCACTGCCTGACTTTAAGATGTTCACTTCCAGGCTTAAAAACTGGTTAAAAATAAGCCAAAAACGTACTTATTTTTAATTATGTACATGATATGCATGTATGTTTATATTATTATTATTTTTTTATTTTTTATTATTGAAGTAGTTAATCATGTAAATTTTCTTGAGTATAAAAGCCCTCCAGGGACAGGAGTTGAAAATGACCAATAGCTATAAACTTTATATGCAACACTTGTCACTATGTTTGTTTGCATTGTCCCTGTCAAATAAATAAATAAAATAAATATAATTTAATTAGAAAAAAAGCGTTTCGTTTAAGTTGCATTTCTATTTTTATAAATAAAAACAATGCACATATGCATTTCTCAATCAATTCTAGTCACTTACATTGTACTGTTGGATGAGGTCATCCTCTTTTTCACCCAGAAAACTGATCAAACAACACGTCTCTCATCGCGTCGATGTTTTTATCCGGATTCTGATCGGGAAGTTTGTAAATTAGCAGCGTCATCCAAAAATAATGAAAAAAAATATTGATATGTTAACTATGAAAGTAACTTAACTTACTTGCAGCATGGGATCAATAACGTAGCTAAGTTAGCTCCGTAGTGTCCGACGTTTTGAGCCATTCCTTCGCACATCAAACTTCAGTAAAGAGCAACGGACCTTTCCATCTTTTCCGACGTAAAAAATACACTTTACGGGTGTTAATCGAGCTTGATCGCCACTATCAGATCAGATGAAGATGCGCTGCTTACGTCCTCCTCCATGTACATGTGCGTAGAGATAGCTGATTGGTTGAAAATCGAGCTCAACAGTTTTATATGTCTCAATACACAGTCAATATAGTGCGCCAATAAATTACACTTTCTCATTAACTGCAGGATAATGCGTGGAGAACTTTTTGTTTGGATACCTTTTATTAACATTAAAGAAAATGTAGTGCCCCGTTTGTCGGAACGAACCTAAACGATACAGCTCACGTACAGCGGCCTACATAAAAAAATCGGATTTTTCCCAATCTTTTGATCAGCACTGTATCCGTCTGGTGTTTGTTCTGCTCCTTTGGTCAGTTAATGTTTGTTTGCTTTGGCGATATTGTGCTATTCTACACATTCATGTTAATAAAGCTCATTTGATGAATGCACAGATTGAGGTTTAACACACGATGAGGACGCACCGAGTCCTCCGGGTAGAGCTTTGACCACTGGCATGAGCTGAGCGATCTCCAGAGCTTCCCAGAGCATGTCATCGGTGGCCTTTCTCTCCGGATCCAGATTAAACCTGAGGGACAGAGAGAACATGCGCTCAAGACTAGACCAGACAAGGTGTGTGTGTGTGTTTGATCAGAAATGCCGTTTCCAGGGAATAAGGCCTCACCGGATTGTTCCACTGAATAAAATGGGATCCTGCAGGATAATGGAGAACTTCGATCGGAGCGTTTGCAGGGGGAGCTTGGCGATGTCAATCCCATCGATGATAATCTGCCCTGTGTGAGAAAACGTGTGTGTGTGAAAGACCTGCCGATGAACATAAAGAGTGTGTGAGTTCAGGAAGCTCCGGTTACCCTCGAACGAGTCCACCATTCTGAAGAGAGCGAGAGAGAACGACGACTTCCCACTTCCTGTCCTTCCGCAGATCCCCACCTGCAACAACAGATTCATGTGCTCAGTGTGTGTGAGTGTGTGTGTTTGCTGTGTGAAGCATCAGAATGACCTTCTGTCCTGGTCTGTGTGTGCGTGTGTGAGACCTTCTGTCCAGGTTTGATGTGAGCGTTGACGTGTCTCAGAACCGGTCTCAGGCTGGTGTCGTAGCGAACGCTCAGGTTCTGGATCTGGATCTCTCCGTACTTCGGCCATCCTGCAGGAACCTGAGCCGGAGCTGCGATCACACACACCAGCACTGGTGTTAATAATATTACATTCAATTTCTATATTATATTATATTATATTACATATATATATATATATATATATATATAAAATTTAAAAACACAATGTTGCCATCGGTTGTCAGTTCGAGTGTGTTAGTCAGTGGTGTCCACTCACTCATGAGTCCGTCGTAGTTCTCAGCCTCGGTGTGTATCAGAGCGCTGACTCTCTTCACACACCCCAACTGAACCTCCATATCGGCCAGGTTACGCACGATCCAGTTCAGGTAGTTGGACACCTTAAGGAACACACACACACACACACTGTTAGATGCCTGAACTCACACTGGTGATGCCCAGAGCTGGACAAAGTTTTTTCATCAAATAAAAATAACAAGAAAAATTAATAGTTTCAAGCTTAACAGCTCTGGAAGGGTCTAGAGCCTCCATTTTTGCACTCAGGTCTAAGTCTCATGGCCCTCTATCAGAATCCAGAGTTTTGAGAAGATTGGAGAAACTTAATTTTTTGCCCCCCGAAAAAAAACGTAAGGGGTACCACTGTCGTTTTTTTTTGGGTCGAAATTTTGAGTTTCAATATCTCAGCTCTGGAAGGGTCTAGAGCCTCCATTTTTGCACTCAGGACTAAGTCTCATTGCCCTCTATCAGAATCCAGAGTTTTGAGAAGATTGGAGAAACTTAATTTTTTGCCCCCCGAAAAAAAACGTAAGGGGTACCACTGTCGTTTTTTTTTTTGGGTCGAAATTTTGAGTTTCAATATCTCAGCTCTGGAAGGGTCTAGAGCCTCCATTTTTGCACTCAGGACTAAGTCTCATTGCCCTCTATCAGAATCCAGAGTTTTGAGAAGATTGGGGAAACTTAATTTTTCGCCCCCCCCAAAAAAATGTAAGGGGTACCACTGTCGTTTTTTTTTCGGGTCGAAATTTTGAGTTTCAATATCTCAGCTCTGGAAGGGTCTAGAGCCTCCATTTTTGCACTCAGGACTAAGTCTCATTGCCCTCTATCAGAATCCAGAGTTTTGAGAAGATTGGAGAAACTTAATTTTTTGCCCCCCGAAAAAAAACGTAAGGGGTACCACTGTCGTTTTTTTTTTGGGTCGAAATTTTGAGTTTCAATATCTCAGCTCTGGAAGGGTCTAGAGCCTCCATTTTTGCACTCAGGTCTAAGTCTCATGGCCCTCTATCAGAATCCAGAGTTTTGAGAAGATTGGAGAAACTTAATTTTTTGCCCCCCGAAAAAAAACGTAAGGGGTACCACTGTCGTTTTTTTTTTGGGTCGAAATTTTGAGTTTCAATATCTCAGCTCTGGAAGGGTCTAGAGCCTCCATTTTTGCACTCAGGTCTAAGTCTCATGGCCCTCTATCAGAATCCAGAGTTTTGAGAAGATTGGAGAAACTTAATTTTTTGCCCCCCGAAAAAAAACGTAAGGGGTACCACTGTCGTTTTTTTTTGGGTCGAAATTTTGAGTTTCGATATCTCAGCTCTGGAAGGGTCTAGAGCCTCCATTTTTGCACTCAGGTCTAAGTCTCATTGCCCTCTATCAGAATCCAGAGTTTTGAGAAGATTGGAGAAACTTAATTTTTTGCCCCCCGAAAAAAAACGTAAGGGGTACCACTGTCGTTTTTTTTTTGGGTCGAAATTTTGAGTTTCAATATCTCAGCTCTGGAAGGGTCTAGAGCCTCCATTTTTGCACTCAGGTCTAAGTCTCATGGCCCTCTATCAGAATCCAGAGTTTTGAGAAGATTGGAGAAACTTAATTTTTCGCCCCCCCAAAAAAAACGTAAGGGGTACCACTGTCGTTTTTTTTTTCGGGTCGAAATTTTGAGTTTCGATATCTCAGCTCTGGAAGGGTCTAGAGCCTCCATTTTTGCACTCAGGACTAAGTCTCATTGCCCTCTATCAGAATCCAGAGTTTTGAGAAGATTGGGGAAACTTAATTTTTTGCCCCCCGAAAAAAAACGTAAGGGGTACCACTGTCGTTTTTTTTTGGGTCGAAATTTTGAGTTTCAATATCTCAGCTCTGGAAGGGTCTAGAGCCTCCATTTTTGCACTCAGGACTAAGTCTCATTGCCCTCTATCAGAATCCAGAGTTTTGAGAAGATTGGAGAAACTTAATTTTTTGCCCCCGAAAAAAAACGTAAGGGGTACCACTGTCGTTTTTTTTTGGGTCGAAATTTTGAGTTTCAATATCTCAGCTCTGGAAGGGTCTAGAGCCTCCATTTTTGCACTCAGGTCTAAGTCTCATTGCCCTCTATCAGAATCCAGAGTTTTGAGAAGATTGGGGAAACTTAATTTTTTGCCCCCCGAAAAAAAAACGTAAGGGGTACCACTGTCGTTTTTTTTTTTGGGTCGAAATTTTGAGTTTCAATATCTCAGCTCTGGAAGGGTCTAGAGCCTCCATTTTTGCACTCAGGACTAAGTCTCATTGCCCTCTATCAGAATCCAGAGTTTTGAGAAGATTGGAGAAACTTAATTTTTTGCCCCCCGAAAAAAAACGTAAGGGGTACCACTGTCGTTTTTTTTTTTGGTCGAAATTTTGAGTTTCAATATCTCAGCTCTGGAAGGGTCTAGAGCCTCCATTTTTGCACTCAGGTCTAAGTCTCATTGCCCTCTATCAGAATCCAGAGTTTTGAGAAGATTGGAGAAACTTAATTTTTTGCCCCCCGAAAAAAAAACGTAAGGGGTACCACTGTCGTTTTTTTTTGGGTCGAAATTTTGAGTTTCGATATCTCAGCTCTGGAAGGGTCTAGAGCCTCCATTTTTGCACTCAGGTCTAAGTCTCATGGCCCTCTATCAGAATCCAGAGTTTTGAGAAGATTGGAGAAACTTAATTTTTTGCCCCCCGAAAAAAAACGTAAGGGGTACCACTGTCGTTTTTTTTTGGGTCGAAATTTTGAGTTTCATATCTCAGCTCTGGAAGGGTCTAGAGCCTCCATTTTTGCACTCAGGACTAAGTCTCATTGCCCTCTATCAGAATCCAGAGTTTTGAGAAGATTGGAGAAACTTAATTTTTTGCCCCCGAAAAAAACGTAAGGGGTACCACTGTCGTTTTTTTTTGGGTCGAAATTTTGAGTTTCGATATCTCAGCTCTGGAAGGGTCTAGAGCCTCCATTTTTGCACTCAGGACTAAGTCTCATTGCCCTCTATCAGAATCCAGAGTTTTGAGAAGATTGGGGAAACTTAATTTTTTGCCCCCTGAAAAAAAACGTAAGGGGTACCACTGTCGTTTTTTTTTTTGGTCGAAATTTTGAGTTTCAATATCTCAGCTCTGGAAGGGTCTAGAGCCTCCATTTTTGCACTCAGGACTAAGTCTCATTGCCCTCTATCAGAATCCAGAGTTTTGAGAAGATTGGAGAAACTTAATTTTTTGCCCCCCGAAAAAAACGTAAGGGGTACCACTGTCGTTTTTTTTTGGGTCGAAATTTTGAGTTTCAATATCTCAGCTCTGGAAGGGTCTAGAGCCTCCATTTTTGCACTCAGGACTAAGTCTCATTGCCCTCTATCAGAATCCAGAGTTTTGAGAAGATTGGAGAAACTTAATTTTTTGCCCCCCGAAAAAAAACGTAAGGGGTACCACTGTCGTTTTTTTTTTGGGTCGAAATTTTGAGTTTCAATATCTCAGCTCTGGAAGGGTCTAGAGCCTCCATTTTTGCACTCAGGTCTAAGTCTCATGGCCCTCTATCAGAATCCAGAGTTTTGAGAAGATTGGGGAAACTTAATTTTTTGCCCCCCGAAAAAAAACGTAAGGGGTACCACTGTCGTTTTTTTTTTTGGGTCGAAATTTTGAGTTTCAATATCTCAGCTCTGGAAGGGTCTAGAGCCTCCATTTTTGCACTCAGGTCTAAGTCTCATTGCCCTCTATCAGAATCCAGAGTTTTGAGAAGATTGGGGAAACTTAATTTTTTGCCCCCGAAAAAAACGTAAGGGGTACCACTGTCGTTTTTTTTTTTGGGTCGAAATTTTGAGTTTCATATCTCAGCTCTGGAAGGGGTCTAGAGCCTCCATTTTTGCACTCAGGACTAAGTCTCATGGCCCTCTATCAGAATCCAGAGTTTTGAGAAGATTGGAGAAACTTAATTTTTTGCCCCCCGAAAAAAAACGTAAGGGGTACCACTGTCGTTTTTTTTTTGGGTCGAAATTTTTGAGTTTCATATCTCAGCTCTGGAAGGGTCTAGAGCCTCCATTTTTGCACTCAGGTCTAAGTCTCATTGGCCTCTATCAGAATCCAGAGTTTTGAGAAGATTGGGGAAACTTAATTTTTTGCCCCCAAAAAAAACGTAAGGGGTACCACTGTCGTTTTTTTTTGGGTCGAAATTTTGAGTTTCAATATCTCAGCTCTGGAAGGGTCTAGAGCCTCCATTTTTGCACTCAGGTCTAAGTCTCATTGCCCTCTATCAGAATCCAGAGTTTTGAGAAGATTGGAGAAACTTAATTTTTTGCCCCCCGAAAAAAAAACGTAAGGGGTACCACTGTCGTTTTTTTTTTGGGTCGAAATTTTGAGTTTCAATATCTCAGCTCTGGAAGGGTCTAGAGCCTCCATTTTTGCACTCAGGTCTAAGTCTCATGGCCCTCTATCAGAATCCAGAGTTTTGAGAAGATTGGGGAAACTTAATTTTTCGCCCCCCGAAAAAAAACGTAAGGGGTACCACTGTCGTTTTTTTTTTGGTCGAAATTTTGAGTTTCAATATCTCAGCTCTGGAAGGGTCTAGAGCCTCCATTTTTGCACTCAGGTCTAAGTCTCATTGCCCTCTATCAGAATCCAGAGTTTTGAGAAGATTGGAGAAACTTAATTTTTTGCCCCGAAAAAAACGTAAGGGGTACCACTGTCGTTTTTTTTTGGGTCGAATTTTGAGTTTCAATATCTCAGCTCTGGAAGGGTCTAGAGCCTCCATTTTTGCACTCAGGACTAAGTCTCATTGCCCTCTATCAGAATCCAGAGTTTTGAGAAGATTGGAGAAACTTAATTTTTTGCCCCGAAAAAAAACGTAAGGGGTACCACTGTCGTTTTTTTTTTTGTCGAAATTTTGAGTTTCAATATCTCAGCTCTGGAAGGGTCTAGAGCCTCCATTTTTGCACTCAGACTAAGTCTCATCATTGCCCTCTATCAGAATCCAGAGTTTTGAGAAGATTGGAGAAACTTAATTTTTTGCCCCCGAAAAAAAACGTAAGGGGTACCACTGTCGTTTTTTTTTTGGGGTCGAAATTTTGAGTTTCAATATCTCAGCTCTGGAAGGGTCTAGAGCCTCCATTTTTGCACTCAGGACTAAGTCTCTTGCCCTCTATCAGAATCCAGAGTTTTGAGAAGATTGGAGAAACTTAATTTTTTGCCCCCCGAAAAAAAACGTAAGGGGTACACTGTCGTTTTTTTTTGGGTCGAAATTTTGAGTTTCAATATCTCAGCTCTGGAAGGGTCTAGAGCCTCCATTTTTGC